TTGTGTCTGAGTTTGGGAAACAAGAAGGCAGAATCTAAGCACTGGAATAACCTGCTTGTGTTTGTTATGGTGCCCTCCTCCAGGGACAGTAGGTCATTTTAGAATACTGATGGACCAGAACATGTCCTGATATTTTATAGTTAAGTAAAACAGATATCATTTCCTCTAAAACCATCCACCATTCTGTCTGAAAATGCCAGGGTTTATATTTACAAGGGAAACACCAATAAAGAGCTATTGTTATATCACAAGTGTGGCATTAAATTGGTGGCATAGGAGTGCAAACAATCAATGATATTTATGGCGGTATTTTTTCTGGATTTTCCTTCTATCTTCATTTTCTTTTTTCTCCTCGTCCTTTGTCTCACAATGAAACACTTTACAGCCTATGGCAAAATCCATGATGTTTATTTATTTTACTAAAACACCATTCTCCGTATATTCTCGTGTGAATTACTAAAATGAAAAGGGAATCAGCAGTAGATTAGCAGATGTAGAAGAATGTGTGAGTGATCTGGAAAACAGGGTAATGGAAAGCACCCAAAGTAACTAGCAAAAATTGTAAAGAACTTTAAAAAATGAAGATAGGTTAAGGGATCCCTTGGAGAACATCAAGAAAATGAACATTTGCCTTATAGAGGTCCCAGAAGAAGATGAAGAGAGCCTGGGTGGCTCAGTTGGTTTATAGTCTGCCTTCAGCTCAGGTCATGATCCCAGGGTCCTGGGGTCGAGCCCCACATCGGGCTCCCCGCTTAATGGGGAGTCTGCTTCTTCCTCTCCTCCCCACTTGTGCTCTCTGTCGCTATCTCTGTCTCTCAAATAAATAAATAAAATCTTAAAAAAAAAAAAAGAAGATGAAGAGAGAGAGAAAGGAGGCAGAAAACTTATTTGAAGAAATAATACCTGAAAACTTCCCTAACCTAGAGAAAGAAATGGACTTCCAAGTTTAAATCCCAACAGATTGCACAAAGAATTCCAAACAAGATGAACCCATGGAGGTCCACACATATAATAATTAAACTGTCAAAGATTAAAGATAAGAGAGAATTTTAAAAGCACGAGAAGATTTTAAAGAGAAAGGGAAACTCTATAAGGCCATTAGCTGATTTTTCAGCAGAAACTTTGTAGGCCATAAAGGAATTGCATGATATATACAAAGTGTTGAAGGGAGAAAATCTACAACCAAGAATAGTCAACCGTCCAAGCTTATCAATCACAATTAAAGGAGAGATAAAGAGTTTCCCAAAGGTAAAGGAGTTTGTCAGCACTAAACTAGCCTTATGAGAAATAAGCAATTTCTTTAAGTGGAAAAGAATTGGCCATAATTAGATGTAAGAAAATATGAATAAAAAGATGTAAAATATGACAGCATATACATAAGAAGTATAGTAGGGAGTAAAAAGAAAGAAGTTTTCTTTCTTTCTTTCTTTCTTTTATTTTTTTTTAAAGATTTTATTTACTTATTTGAGAGAGAGAGAATGAGAGAAAGCACATGAGAGGGGGGAGGGTCAGAGGGAGAAGCAGACTCCCTGCCGAGCAGGGAGCCCGATGCGGGACTCGATCCTGGGACTCCAGGATCATGACCTGAGCTGAAGGCAGTCGCTTAAACAACTGAGCCACCCAGGCGCCCCAAAGAAAGAAGTTTTCTTAGAATGTGTTTGATCTTAAATGACCATTAACTTAATATAGACATGGGGCTCAAACCCAGGACCCCAAGATCATGACCTGAGCCAAAGGCCGTCACTCAACTGACTGAGGCACTGAGGTAGCCCAAATGTACTCAAATTTTTAAAAGGAAATAAAAATTAGATCTTTTGTCTTATAGCATTTGTTATAGTATATATCTTTTTATCATAAAGAGAAAAATTCCTTTTTTTATAACTTCATTACTATTGGTAATAGCAAAAATATTGTTAGTTCATGGGCTGCTGTGTCTTCAGAGTATTAGAATAATGTCTGGCATGCGGTACATACTCAATAAATATTAGATGAATAAATAAATTTACAAGATGATTTTAGGCAGTACATGGATAGAAGGGTTTTTAGAATTTTTTTGTTTATATTAATGTGTATCAAAAAACTGTACATAAAAAAAACTGTACATAAAACTACATATTAAACCTGTGGCTTGGGTTATGATTATATAAAATTTCTTTTTAAAATAAACTATTAAACAATATAAGTTAAAAGTTCTTAACGTGGCAGGATGATAGAAGAAGGAATATAGTGAGGAAAGAGGCTGAGGTATGAACCCTACTGAACATCAAGTTAAGTCTGAGAAAAAGGAGTTGATGCAAAACACATAGAAGTAGTGGAAGGAAGGGAGTCACACAGACACTTACTGACCAGTAAGGCTGAATCAACAGGACCAATTGCAGTAGTGTCTTTAGGAATAAGCTCCAATTACCTCTGTGCATTGTTATTAATAAGAGATTAATTGAGACAATGCATATTAATCATATCACACATAAGAGATGTTCAGTACATTTTACCTGTAATAATCATCATTACTACTTACACCATAACCATTCCTATTAAAAATGAATAGCTTTAAACATCGGGGTGCATGTACCCCTTTGGATCCCTACATTTGTATCTTTGGGGTAAATACCCAGTAATGCAATTGCTGGGTCATATGGTAGCTCTATTTTCAACTTTTTGAG